GGCTCCCTGCTCGGCGGGAAGCCTGCTTCTCCCTCTCCCACTCCCCCTGCTTGTGTTCCCTCTCTCACTGTGTTTCTCTCTGTCAAATAAATAAATAAAATCTTAAAAAAAAAACCCCACTGCAAAATGACTATTTTCTCCTATTCTCTAACATTTCAAATCTTTTGGCTCATATTATAACGGACAATTCTGCAAGTGAAATGAATATCCAACAAATAAGATACATAATGGTACTTAAGTAAGAAAGCATAAGCCAGATTTTAATAATGAGACAGTGGCTACTATGATAGGATACATTCATTTTATACAACATATTCCAGAATAATCAATGTACATGCTCAGCCACGTGATAACTACAGGCAGAAAAATCACATTAATTCATCTGCCTGCAAAGCAAGTAATGTCTTTTCTCTAAGCGCACATATTACAGAGGCATCTCATTATACCAAACACACAGAGAGATACCAAATATTAAATAGTCTGTGAAGTAACAACTGAACCCTCCATCTTTATATCAGTATCAATTGTACCTAACAGCATTTTCATGCTTATAATTTCCCCTTATCCACACAGCATTCTGAAGTACACTGGGCAAGCATTTCGCCCACATTTTACAGATAAAGATATAGAAGAAAGACGCTCTCTGATTTGTTAAGGGTATAGAGCTGGCTTGTGGCAGAGATTGAACTGGAATAATTATCTTCTCCCCTTGTTCTGTAAATTGCAAGGAAGTCAAAGTTGGGGTGTTTTAAAAGGAATAATCTTGGGTCTATATAATAAACTAAATACTAAATACTATGTTTATTATTATTGGACCCAGTTTTTAAGGAAATTAATACCTGCAAAGTTATTAGAAAAGTTCTTGGCAAAGAGTAAGTGCTTAATAAATGCTAATATTTCTATTTCATTCTTCTTTCTCACAGGGTGAAAGAGCATTTTTATTCACTCTTCAAATTTCACAAAAATCATCTTTTGATTTCCTCCAAATGTCAGACTCTTTGCTTCCTCCTGACTTGCAGAATCCAGAGCAGAGAGTCAGGACAAAACAGGGACTAGGAGTCAAGAGACCCTTTTACTAATAGGCTCTGTGACCTTAGGTGAGTCACTCAAACTCTGTCTCTCAGTTCCTTCATTTGTCAAATGCTGAAAACATTTAATGTACTCATGTCACTATTTGTTTTGAAGCAAAAAAAAAAAAAAAGCTAAGTGTGAAAACACTTACAAAACCATTCTGAAAAGTCTTTACACATAAGATACTACTTTAGACTCTTCATCTGGTAGTACTTCCTAGGAAAGAGACTGGCTACTTGAAGCCCATTAGATTACTCCCACTGCCAGAAGCTTCTCCATTACCTGGGCAATGAACTGGATGATTTTCACAAAGATGTTCAGAGGCATATCCCTTGGCACCACACCACGGGACCCTTTGGGGAAAAGTGTTGTGATGATGGTTATAAGACGGCTGAAAGATAGGGAGAAAAAAGAGAAGACAAGCAAGATTGGCTGAGCTCCAGTTCTGTAAGGGAAAATGGCAGATGCTTCATCTTATCTAAGTATCAGAGAGAATTTGGAAAAAGAAAACAAACCATTTCATCCCTTTTCCATTAGCATAATTACTCTATGAAAAGTTTTTCTGGAAAACTAAAGGCAGCTGGAAAATTATAGTCATTTGCTTTGCTAACATGGTGAAATGCAGCCTTGGACATGGAAACTCCTGGTCCTGGTAGATGCTGAAATTTCTGTAATGGCTGCTGAGCCAATGACTAAGGAAAGCTTGAAAATGTCCTTACCACTTAGATCTTTTAGAAACTGTCAACTGAATAGTTTGTAGTTTAGTTAGTACAGGTAGCAATAAAACAAAACACCCTCTCCATTGGCTGAGAAATGGTTACTATTAACTCAGTAATATAGTTACCATTAACCCAAACCAGCTCCTTACCTCTGAGTAGCTGTGTTGCTTTCACATTTAATTCGAATCATGTAAACCCAAAGTAATCTGTACAGAGATTCCAGTGCAACTCGAGCCATCTTGGGGTCTTTATTCTACAACAGAAACCGGGATGTAAGATAGTATTTGATTTAAGATTTAATTAAGCTTAAGTGGAAAAAAAAGATCAAATGGTAATGTATGGAGAATATTCTTTTCTGAATTCCTAGAAATGCAGGGTCCCTACAAGGCACCTGTATCATCTGGGACTTATGGGGTATTTGACTTCAGGTGTCCATTGGGTAAATAATCTATGAGGAGGGATCTAAACAGCCATGAGGGCAGGACAGGGTAGTTCAGGGGGAAATCATATTATTCTCTCTTTTGCCAAGATGAATGCTTGAAATTGCCTTCTTCCTCCAGCCCTAGGGAACCTGTATGCTCTAGCATTGAGAGAGAGAGAATCAATGTCCTCTTTCTTTTGTTGATTATGCCCTTTTTGCTTTGATTCCCCAAGCTCCGCAGCTCCTTATCTAATTACTCACCAACATTTATTGAGCTGAATGTGTACTAAGCAGTGTGTTAGAGCGTGGGTTACAGAGATAAAAGATAATCCCTTTCCTTAAGTTGTTCACAACCTCTGGGGGATGGGAGATGGACAGTAAGTAATCAACTCTTAAGGCAGTAGAAAAAACTGGTAGGGAGAGGAGCTAGAGAATGGAAAGAAGGGCAAGATATGGAAAGCTCAAGGAGGGTCAGGAAAAATTTCCAGGGACAGATGAAAACTCAGTTGACATTTACTCATGTGTTCATTCAACCAAACATCTGAGTGGCTACAGTGGGCCAGGTACTGTGCTTGGCACAGTGTGGAACTTTGAGCAGTGTAGAAAGATGATGGGAAGGGAGAACACATGGAAGCTAAGAGAGCTGGAGAAGATACGTCACGTCTCAGAACCTGGGAACAGTTCACATGCCAGTGCATGGGGCCGGGTGAAAGACTAGTGGCTAATGAGGCCAGTGAGGAAGGCAGTGGTCACATGTGGGACCCCACATGCCTGGATCCATAAGGGGACCAGGGTTCTTTTTTTTTTAAAGATTTCATTCATTCACCTGATAGAGAGACAGCGAGAGAGGGAACAGAAGCAGGGGCAGAGAGAGAGGGAGAAGCAGGCTTCCCGCTGAGCAGGGAGTCCGATGCGGGGCTCGATCCCAGGACCCTGGGATCACGACCTGAGCTGAAAGCAGACGCCCAACGACTGAGCCACCCAGGCGCCCCAAGACCAGGGTTCTTATGATGGTGACAGGATGCCACTAAGATCAAGGGGACCACCAAAGAAGTCCCTGCCTACAGTGAAGGGAAAGAAAGGAGCAGAGGCAGGGAGACCAGCTATGGCAGAGCTACTGGCTTCCAGGCAATAACAAGCCAGAGAGGAAGGAATTGATTCTTTCCCCACTGTCCATCTGACTCTAATTATATTCCTCTTGATTTAAAAATCATGGGTTGGGTGGTTTCCCTGATGCCTGTGCGACCCATGTAACATTTCTTGGCATGGCATGACTGACCAATCAATATGTAGTTCTAACCTACCTTTTCTGCCTCCCTTCCCTCCATTCTCCCACAAGCCCCCTAAACTCTAGCTAGGCTGTGTGCATTCCATTTCCATGTCAGGAGTGGGTTCCCTCACCCCCTGCATCTTTTTTTTTTTTAAGATTTTATTTATTTATTTGACGGGGGTGGAGGGCACAAGCCGGGGGAGCGGCAGGCAGAGGGAGAGAGGGAAGCAGACTCCCCACTGAGCAGGGAGCCCAATGCAGGGCTCGATCCCAGGACCCTGGGATCATGACCTGAGCTGAAGGCAGAGGCTTAACTGACTAAGCCACCCAGTCACCCCTGATCCTTCTTTTCTATCAGGTGAACCCTACCCCTTCACAGTCTACTTGAATTCCCTCCTTTGTGCAGGCTCCTTGGTTCCTCCTCAGGTCTTCGACCCCATCCCATTAAAGCTAATTATTCTGTCCTGAGTGTCTTCTGACCTTCATACAACCTCTAGCATACAGCCTTGTTTAGATGTCTGAAAGCAAGGGGCATGGTTTACCTTGACATCTATTAGAATTCCCGCCATTCTTCAGGGGGTTGATAAATGTTTGCTAAATAGTCTTTGAACGTCACTCTTAACTTTCTTATAGGTTTTTTGTTTTTATGTGACTTTTCTTCCCTTATTCATTTATTTATCTTGCCATAATTGCTTTAGCTGTTTAATTCTTAGTGTAGATAATTTGGATACTGATTTTTATAGAATTTATAAGTGTTTAGATATTACCCCAGATAAAGCTTACTTTTAGACTATTTATGTAAATTCTATGGAAAAGATGATTGAGAATGGTTTTTTAGATTTAGGAGAAATAGAATAAATTTTTGGTGTGATCATTATAAAATTCTAGATTTCTATATGCTTTCAGGTCTGATTTTAGAATTTGTTTTATTAGTCTATGTATTCACGGGCTAATACCACATTATTTTAAGTTTTGAGGCTTGCGTTTTATTACTATATTGTACACCTGAAACTAGTATTATACTGTATGTTAAGTAACTGGAATTTAAATAAGAACTTAAAAAAAATAAAACAAATGTGTTTCAGTATCTGGGTATGGACTATCTTCCATCATCCACTAGTCTTTTCTTCTTTTCAAAGGGTTTTCCCAGATATTTTTCCATGCTTATTCTTTCAAATAAACTTTATATCTACTTTTCTAGCTGTAGGAAAAAAAAAGACTCCAACTTTATAAAGCATACATTGATATATAAAGGGTTACGATTTGCCTGTTTGATTTGCATGCTTGGTTACATAGAGGAACTTTAAGTAAACTACTAAACTGATAAAGTTGCATTTAAAATGTTCCATCATTAAAAAATTTGGGGAATTCTAACTATCCTTCCCCCAAGCACTCCAAATTAGCAAATCTATGATGTGTTTACATGGTGGTTAAAAACAGACTCTAGACACACACTGCCTGGGTTTGAATCCATCCTTGCTCTGCAATTTATTAGTGGTGTGGCCCACCTCAGCGTAGCTCCTTAATCTCTCTGGGCCTGATTTTCACTGTCTGCAGATGATAATCCTATCTACCTCATAGGAATGTTGAGAATTAAATGAGTTAATGCATATAGGATATTTAGCACTGTTCTTGTCCATAGTAACTATTATTATGCACAAAGCACCAGGATCTAGCAGTAAACATGCTCTGATTTGGGGGAGCTTCCATTCCAGTAGAGATGTTTCTTCCTTTGTTAATTTCTCTTTATTAGTATATGTATTTTATATTTGCATAGTGTATCATTCAAAATTCTCTCATGTGCCTTATCTCATATTGTGAATCATGATGGGGTAGGGCAAACATCACCTAAGTTTTATTAAGGAACTTAACAGAGATCTCTAGTTTAAACAATTCATATTGCTATCTTCTGTTTAACTTCAATTGATTTTATATTCTTTTTTCTGTCTCCCTACCCACAATTACCCTTTTGGTGCATCCCATTGTGACTGATGTTCTTTTACTCTTAAGAATATACTTGAGATTATCTGTTTTTGTTTCCACAGAGACTGAAGAGCAATGTGGCTGACTTAAGTTTTCACTTTGTTTTACCTGTGGATCCTGTTCTAGTGCTTGATTTTTAGCATTTCAAGGTGATATCACTGATCACTACCATTGCCTCCTCAAATGATTTTCTTGCCTTTCTTCCATTCTTGGCACTGTCAAATGGTATTCTTAAACTGCAAACATGACTGTTTACGTCCCCACATTTAAAGTCCTTAAGTGGCTTCTAATCACCTCCTGGACAATGTCCAAATTCCATGATGTGGTACATGAGGCGCCTTTGGCAATCTGGCTCCCCCATTACTACCTCCTGCCTCCACCTTGGGCTTTGGTGCACCCCATACCATTATATCCCTTACCTACTTCTGGTCTATTTGGAAAATTTCTCCTCCCTGGCAAGATTCAGTTAGGTGTCATCTCCTCTATTAAATCCCTACTATCACAACCACTATTTCTCCACCCCAGAGAGATTGCCAACTGCCTTTGCTCTCCACTTCCAGAATGCTGTTCTACCCCTTTACTTGTATATTCCTTAGCAGACTGTGAACTCCAGAATTCTGGTTTGTTCATTTTTGTATCCTCAATGACTGCCAAACAGCAGGTTATCAGTAAATATCAGTTTAAAAAAAGCAGACTGTGAGTAGTAGCTGAACAACTTGATGCACTAGCAAGATGTCTTTATATAGGACCTATACAAGGAGGCAGTTCAAGAAAATGACATAGAATGATCCTGAACTCACCTCCTCTTAAGGACACAACTAATCTATAGCTACATATGGAATAATTCCCTCTGGGAAGAACCTGAACACTGGCTGAACAGCTACTTTATAACAAGGGATAAAAGGGCCACATGAAGACAGTCTTGAAAACCCCACATCCCAAGAGTGGTGACCCACCATGGGGAGGGCATCTCACAAATATGGAACTCCTCCCTGAGGAGCATGGAGTTTGTGCTCCACATTAGCTACTCCATCCCTTAGGACCTGCACCAGAGAAATGAGTCCCCAAAATGTGTGACTTTGAAAACCAACAGGGCTTACATCCAGGAGAGCCATAAGGCTGTAGGGAAAGAGAGAGATTCTGCTCTTAAAAGCCTCATAAGCAGATTCACTCTCCCTGGGGCCCAGTACAAAAGCAGCAGTTTGAGAAGAGCCTAGACCATATGTGAAAAAGATAAAGTTGTTAATATTAAGGCATCTGCTAGAGGAACAAAAGCCTGTTAGGACCCTGTGCAGGGATGGAGGCACTGGTGGGTGATATTTTTATATTCGCTCTCAACCTTGCTGGTGCTGGCATTGGGAAGTACTATTTTTGTACTCTCACTCTAACTGCCCAGTGCCAACCCCTACCTCCCATGCCACTGCCTTGGACTTGCACCCTTTGTGTTGCTCCCATAAACCTGTCCCTGCCCCCTTGACCTACCAAAGCCAGTAGGCATGCAGAGCCCACACAGGGGATGCCCTTGAGTGCCAGGCTCTGGTGGCCAGGGGCATTGTGTTTCTGGGCTCTATGAGTTTTA